TTTTATTTTATTTATTTATATTTTTTCTGGGGGTGAGTATCAGTTGGTGGCGGTAATGCACTTTTAACTAGTTTGCCAAACGCTATAAAACTTCACAAGAAGAAGAAGAACCAGCGAGCTCAAACTCCAGTCCTCAAGGGCTGATTTCCTGATGCATCTCTGCTTCAACACACCTGACTTCAATATGACCTCGTTAGCAGGGATGACATCTACTAGTGAGCTGTTGAGCTGTTTTAGCCATTTGATTCAGATGTAAAGGACCCCCTTCCCTTAATATTTGAGCTTCAGACCCAGTTTTTAAACTGGAATCTCTGTTGTTGTGTCTCATTGTCCAGGATATTAACTGTTTATAGTTCTGTTGCTCTACCTTTTCCAGTTCGAGCTTTATAAGTTTTTATTTTTTTCTTCAGTCGAAGGACTTGATTTTTTCTACCAAGCTCTGCATTTGGGTCCTTATTTAATACATCATGAAAGGTTTGTGATGTAAAACATCCTGTTTTAATAATATAAGTACTAAACTCTCAGCTCTGTTCAGCCATAATACAAAAACTAATGTAGCTACTGAAAAGTAAAGAAAATATATATTGCATTTTGCTGAAAATGGTTGTGCAAGAACTTTATAAGGGATGTAATATCTAGCACTTTTATCTTTTTACCTATATTTTGTGACAATAAGGAAATTAAACATTTTTATCCAGTTTTAGGTATAATTCATAGCAGCACACTTTTTCTGAAAGACAAAAACAGTTTTATGTTTCTGTTTTCAAATGGCATTCAAATTTTATATGCATAAATAGAGAGATAAGGTGATATTAAAAGGATGGGGGAGGAGATTACAATATGAAATCTATTCATGGACAACAATGAAAAAAAAAAATACAAAAATGGATGTCCAAACTGATACCAATGAATTGATACCAGGAGACAATAACGTGAATGCTAAAGAAGGATTAGATGACAGTACACTGAGTGAGCAAGGAAAGGAAAATTAGATGGCTGGTTGAAAGACTAATATGAAATGATCCATCCCTTTTTATTGCTTCTGTCAGTCCAGGCTTGCTGGGAAGAAATGAGCGACAATTATTTATTGCACGTTGTAGGTATCATAATCAGACACCAGTAGTCGGTTTGCCTGCACTCATTACTGGCATGTATGCTATCTTATTTTAATGTTGTGCTTTTAAAGGGGAACTTCAACCCTTATTCATTCATAGTGGAATTGTTATCAACTTTAAAGGCTGATCAAGGCAAGAATTTACATTTTTTTGGGTGTGTGAAGGGGGGTTATTTTTAATTTTCTTTCCACAATCCATGGATTAAATGACTGTACATTTGTTGGTATGGGTTCTACAGTGCCTTTCAGCTTAGGAAGGACAAATCCTCCTTTCCATTTATCATCATCTATAGCCTTTATTTTGATTGGGCAGGGGGTGCAAAGGCTAGGAATACAGTAGCAAGTATGAAGTATGTAAAAGATGTGATAATAATGGTCATGCTAAGGCTCTGTGTTGAAGGTAAGGAAAGCAAGCTGGATTGTCCTTATCAATAGGTCATTAAGAATACTTATGAATTCCTAAAATCCTTTGCATGTCAGAAAGTATAAGCATAGCCCAGCTCACAGCATTTAACAAAATTGCATTATGTGTGCTGTATTACACATGCTACCATTGATACAGAGACACCACAAAAAAAGGGTTGAATAATGGAGAACTAGAGTAAATTTACTACATATGTACAAAATATTTAAAAGATAAAATAGTTAAATATGCTTTAAAATGTAGGTGCATGATGGGAAAACACCCAGACTAAATCAGTTTGGATATCTTACCACATATTCTCCCAGAAGATTACAGTCATTATGGAAATCATGGCATAAGATGCTAGCTAAACGTACAATAAATGTGTGTGCAGCGTGTATATATTTGGACCCAAAAAAACCTATTTTAGTATTTGAATTAAATGCATAGTTTTTCTAGTTTATGGCATTCAGTTTGTTCTATAAATGTGATTATAAATGTTATTAAAGTAATAAGGGCTGTACAGTGGAGCAGAGGGTAGCGCTGTTGCCATGCAGCAATAAGGTTCTAGGTTTGATTTCTGGCTCTTCTGGCTATTTTCCTTGTGCATGTGTGGGTTCTCTGCAGGTACTCTGGCGTCGTCCTTAGGTGCGAGTGTGTGTGTGCATGGTTGTATGTCTCTGTGTTGCCCTGCGACAGTCTGGCGACCTGTCCAGGGTGTACCCCACCTCTCGCCCGTAGACTGAGATAGGCACCAGCTATACCGCGACCCTGACAAGGACTAAGCAGAAGAAAATGGATGAATGGATATTAAAAGAAATTGTTCCAACACCAAAATGAATCACTTCGTTTTTACAGAACAAATCAGTTGTAATAAAGTTTAACCCATCTCTATCAGCAATCATGATTTTAATCAGCTGTGTTTGTGCCAATGTTTTTTCAAATTCAAGCATTTCTGTTTCATCATCTGATCTGTTAGTTGTTGTTAAAGCCATAAATCTATCATAGGAGAAATTGTAAACCCTCTGCTATCATTATATGTCAGAATAAACTGACACATGGACTACAGATAGAGATTCACACTCGAAAGGTATTGTACAGTCTCTGAACTTAGCTGTTAACATGATGTAAGTTTCCTCAAATGGACACGTCCCTCCTGCAGCTACGCTTCTTGGTTAAATGCACTTGCGGCCTAAAATTTTCTCCTGAGGCAAGTGCCTTTCAAATACTATTCAAAAGCAGTCCGGTGACTTCCCCTCAATGGAGCTATGAACTAGTTTAATAACTATTGTTAGAGTAAACCCCAAAGACTTGATACAAGGAGACAAGAAATGAGGAAAATGAACACAGAGCACAGGAGGGTGAGAAATTACTAGAAAAAAAAAGGTAAGAACATGATGGAAACCGGGATGAGATGTTTTTCTAGTGTAAAGAGGATTAGATGACGGTTTAGCATGATGTATATACAATCTTTTTGAATTTTTGGATATTTTGGCAAATGAGAATTATGTTTTGGAGAATCTTTGTCAACCAAGGAGTCTGTTAATAATCTTTTAAAATGTACAATCTTTAAAAACTGACAGAATTATATTACAGTTATCAAACAATATTAAATTGTCCCTTATTTAGCCTTTGTTTTAAGTGCTGTTGTGTTAAGTAGTTATTAAGACGCTTTTTACGGCAGACGATTGTTCAAATAAACCCCTCTTGGGGCACTGCAAATGTCCTCACCTTCTTTTTTGGGGTTTTGTAATTGCGAGTTGTAGCAGCTACAATTCTGTAAATTGTGTTTTTTGTATTTCTTTGCAGAAGGCTCAAGTCCCAATTAGAAAATCATCATCCATGTTTGTGATGACGTCCGGAAGGCTAAAGCCTGACCTTTTCACACAGCAGTCCATCTTTCCTTTCCTACAGCAGTGGCGCTCATACTGTTGACCCCATGAAAGGTGAAGGAAAAGGAGGTAGGGGCTACAATTTGCTGCATTTCAATTGATTTCACTATTGTGACTATTGCTTAAGCTGCTGGAAAACCACCAAAAATAGCTGAGTTTTCCAGTATGCATCGCTTTCTCCCCTGAATTTCAAATCCGAGCTGAATCTGTTCAAAAACCCATAAAAAGTAGCCACAAGTTTTTTCAACCCTGGCTATTATTTTTATTTTTTATTATTTTTTTATTTTTTGCATGACCATAAACTGCAAATATGTATTTACTTAAAGTCAAATTTGCTTTAGTTGGTTCCAAAATTCCGTGTGAAATGGTTAGGTTAGGTGAATTATACATTTATTAAATTTTTCAAATTGGTCAGAAAAGCTGCAGATACTGATGGCTCAGATGGCAAGAACTTGACTGTTCTAGTATAAATTGTGTAAAGTGGTAAAAAAAAACAACTAATAACACTTGTAGGGGAAAGACATAAGAAGTCTTTCTCTAAGCGACATGACAAAGGTGCAGGAAAAGATGCTCTCTTATAACTGCACTTAAGCATCCTGAACACACCATCCTATCTGCGTAACATGAAGCTGGCAGTATCATGTTATTGAAATGGTTTTGATTTGCAAAATGGGGAGTTCATCAGAGTAGAGGAAGATGGATTGAGCTTAACAAATGACAGTGCTGTAAGGGTAGAGGTGGCCCACACACTCCAAAGAGTCTTGCTGCTGAAAGGTGAAGTATTGATTCCAGTTTGTCTAATAACATTTAAATAAATAAATTACATATAAATAAATAAATAAAGCCAAATATTTGGTTTTAAAATAAAGAAACAAAACAAAATGGAAAGCTATTTTCCTATTTTATCTTTGTGTTGGTCTATCACATAAATTCCCCATAAAATGCATTAAAGTGTCTGGTGGTTATGTGACAATATAATGAAAAGTTCAGGGGTGTGAATTCTGCAAGGCATCCATGAAGATCCTGGTCAAATTTTACAGGATAAAACTTCAGATAAATTTTCTGAAAGCTTTGAATGATGCAGGGGCATTTGGGGAAAGGAATCCGAAACAAGAGGATTATGTCATCACATCTGCAAAGAAAGTTCTGCATGGACAATATGTGCTCGCCATTAATTGTCTGTGGTAACATTAACCTCTTATGTTTTCAGACATCAGGCAAATAGTTTCCTTTCAAGTTCAGTTTTATGTCACAACAGTAAAGTTGTTTCTCCTCTGTGTCTCCTTTTACACTGCAATCAACTTTTTAGCCAATTAAATGAAAACTTGAGTGACCTAAAGCATTGCAACGTCCAATCAAGAGAAATAACTATCCTGCAACAGGATAAGCATATATGGGTAAAAAATCCCTCATCAACAAAGTTAAAATTTCATAATACTCATGTGGGAAATAATTAAAGGATCACTTATTTTAAAGGTGTGTAGAAGCACAAGAAAGACATTGAGGAAAAAAACAAGTTTAGTGTTGACAGGTTCTTACTACAGTACATACTAACAGATCGAAGTTTGAAAGGGATAAAAGCAAACGCTTAAGTGGAGGGAGATTTGTTAAATACAAAAGGAAGGTATAAAAACAAAAATAAAGGAAGATTTGGGCATAGTAAAAGTGCAGAGAGGTTGCAGTCCGCTTGCAGTTCTACGATCTGTAAAATCTTTAACTAATATCGGTCCATGCCGACAAACGCACACGCCTTACGAAGAAAAGCCGCGTTTTTCTTCACGGCTCCACGCAGAGAGAGAAAATGACGACCTTTACCTGGGGACAGATAGTATGGCTCAACAGGACAAACACATAGATCTATATAAACAGTTTCACATGAGCCGGATTTTACCTCCAGCCAGCATGAGACCTTTACAAACACATTAAATGAAGACAGATAATCACTGGCTCTAATATTAGTTGCAAAAAACATTTTTGAACAGTTACTCACACATCTTGTCTTTACCTACAACATAATTTCAATTTGGAAATGATTAATAAAATTAATGCAGCATTGTTTGTTCTGCCTTTCTTGCAGTTATTTGATCTTTATTTCATTTCCTGCTGTAGAAATGTGAACTCCTAATCTTCAGCATGGAGAAACAGACACAAAATAAAGGTTAGAAAGTTAAGATTTCTCAATGAAGGAAAATAAATTTTTATTCTTTGATTTGGCCTCTTCAGAATTTTTCTTTTCAATCATTCTTAAAATCTTGTCATTATATAACATACTCTCTCAATAGAATTAGAATGATAAATCTTGCAAAAATTTTAGGTAACAAAACACAAAACTGAACATGCAAAATAAAACTATAAGAAAAATGTACATTTTATTCAACCACTGCAGTTAAAGTTCAGACTTGACTACAAGCAATGAGGATAATTTAAACCATGACGATTCTCTGTACCATAATAGTCAGCTACAGCTACATACACACAACTCTAGGATATTTCATTCTTTCTGGAAAATTTGTATAAGGATAATATGGCAAGTAAACCATTTGAATTGAGGATTCAAATTAACATGGAATGATGACCTGATCTATCAATTTGAGGGTAATTTTCTACTTGCAGTCATTTTCACTTTGTAAGCGGAAATCTGTCACATTCAATATTGCTCTTTAATAATACACTTCTGACACCTTCACCACCTTTTTTCCCTTGTATGGTTGAATATCATCCTGTGAATCGACAAAATGAGTGAACTAAACAAGCTTTCTGGTCTTTCTACCAAGGTAGACTGGCATACAGTAAATGGCAGGATGGCGGCGTGCGATAAGGCAGCACACGGTAAGGGAATAAAAAGCCTCATAAAATGGGACTGCAATTGCATACAGTATGCTTCTAAGGATGACTTGGGACACAAGAAAAATTGAGCTGATGCCACATTGCGGCATCAGTTCTAAGTAGGGACGTCCCGATCTGAATTTATCAGATATCGATCCATATTAGTCAGAAAATAATATGCTGGCATCTAAAATCTCCAATATTTTCGTGCTTCTCTTAAGTTTCTCTAACTCATAGGTTAATTTTACAAGTCAGTTGTATTCATACCCTTGGTTGTTGACTTTTCTTCCCTGTTTCAATAATATTACTTTATCAAGCCTTTTCTCACATTCTACAGTATAAAATGGCTAATAAAATCCGTTATCAGTCGTGGTAATTTTGGTACCTGCCAATTCTCAAAGCTGTATCAGAAATGAAAAAGTTGTATCAGTACACCCGTAGTTCAAAGTAAATTTTTACCCTCAAAGGATCGTTCTAAAATTAAATGTGGTTTGTCAAAACTTGAAGACAGAAAATTCATTAGACCGGGCATCCTTCTTTAAAGTTTCTGTCTGCTTGTCTGGTCAGCAAGTCAGGAACATGATCCTGCAACCATGTTTAAATAAAACATAATGTTGCATAACCAATATTTTGGTCGGGTCTTTGCTAGGGCTTTGAGTTCTTCTAATCTGTTTCCTAAAGTTTTTTACATTGCCCATGAGTGATGGAAGAGATGGCTTGAATTTCCTGCTCCTCTCTCTTCTCCTTGCTCCTGCTCTGCATCTTTGGTGCCTCTTTTTCTACTTAGCTAGTACTTGTAGAAGTATTTCACGTATTGTTTCCACGTTATTAATGAGCTGCTCCCAGGTGTTAAAAAAAAAAACACACACAAAAAAACAACTTGCTGTTGTTGCCATAGCTTCACATCATAAGAAATATTCAAAAAGGAAAAATACAAGCAAAATCCTTCCAGTTTGACAGCATTAAACATCAGAGACAAGAAAACTTTTGAAAAGAATTCTTATCCACAAATGGAGGAAATAAATTCTCTTGAAAAAGCGAAAACGGAATTACTACAGCAGTCAGCCATCTTAAGCAGTGCCATTTTTAAATCTGTCCTACATAAAGCAGGGGTACCTATCCATCATAGTGGAGGCAGAGCAATTTAAATATCATTTGACTTTATTTTTCTCCTTCACAAACAGACAAATGATGGATTCGCTACAAGTAGAACATTTGATCATAATAGAAAATCATTTTGTCATCTCATTGACACGTTATGGTCATGTTATGATTTCCTGTCAATTTAATGATGGACATTATTATAATGTATTACTAGTTGTAATAGAAATTAAACATGCGTTATGAAGTAGTTGTAAATTATATGTTGCTTTTGCTAAATAAGGGTTTGTCTGTATGCTTCAGTTCAATTTGTTAAACTGGGCTGAAAGTGATGTCTTTATATTGCAATATCATTTCTTTATTTGTTAACATTATTAGGGTGCAAATATGTTGGCTTCAGCGAATTTTATTTTTCCTCTGATGGGCATCAAAAAAAGAAAATAGTAACACATGAGGCTGTTTTTTTTTTCTTAAACAATTGATGTAGACTTTGTACTACCCCCCCAACCCCCTAAACTTGACTATTCCTTGTTAAGACAATGCTACATCTAGGGGATTCTCAGAAAGCAAATATCATGATTGCATTAATCAATTCTACCCACTATGTCATCAATGTGTTTTCTTTTTTGTAAGCCTGACACACCAGCTTGGTGCACAAGATGTGTGCAGACAATCCTGGCTGTCTCAGTGTAATTAGTTTTCATTCATTTCAAGTACATGCAAGCTGTGATTCCCGTCTTTAAAAAGACCCTTTCTCCTCTTCTTGCTGCCACTCACACAAGCCAAATTTAAGCTTTTGATGTCAGCCTTCCAGGTTAGGAGGCTCTATTTCTCTTCTCTTCTTTTGAGGCAAAGATTACCCCTTAGAGAGGGATGCACCCTTCTGTGGCTTCCTCTCTCTTCAGACATATAGGGAATTGAGACAGGGTGTTAATTTGTTCTGTACATATCTTTTGCAACACAAATGCAGATATTCCTTGGGATGTAGACCTGTAGAACATGTGTATGTATGAGAGGGAGAGATGCAGAGTGTACACCGATAGGCCATAAAAGATGTGGTCTGACATGTTCCAGTTATATCTAAATGGATTTAAACCACAGGAGGACTTTCAAGCAAAGAACGCTTTTATATTTGTCACACACACTCAATAATGAGGAAGTCAACTGATTAAATCAACTTTACTGCTAGGTTCTGAAGAAGACTGCAAGGAGAAAATTGGATTTGGCAATAACTTATACACACGCCTAGTTTTACACACCTTTTCTACTAACATAATTATGCACTTAAACACATAGGCACAAGATTACAGCAGGCAACCATATTATGGTAAGATATTCCCCCACTTGAATGGAAATATTCTACTGAATACTCACGGTTTCTGGGTTTGTCATCATCCAAGCCCTCTTCTTCATTCTCTGGGTCAATGTCTTCAGCCTGAGTTATCCAGTCTAAATAGCCCTGCAATTATACACATGGGCAAGAAAAGAAACATCTAGTGAGGCAATGCTTTGCAGAAGTATTGAATCTCTTTGAACATGTTCTCATCTTTCAATTCATTTGATTGAAAAAACATTTTTTCCCCCATTGCACAAATAAAAACTGTGAAGTTTTACATGTAGCGGGAATGAGAATTTTGCCAAAGTAAAATTCCAAAGTAATTCAAGGGTCTCTGGTAAAACACAAAATAACATGTAGAAAATAGTGCTCCGTCAGATGAGCCCTAAATCAGCATGTTTTTGCCCACATGCAGAATGTTGGGCAGTGGAGGGGGGTGGAGAGATAAATGTGGATGGTCCTCACATCGCAACTTAAAAAAAAAAAATAGCGGAAGCATCATACTGTGGATTTATATATATATATATATATATATATATATATATATATATATATATATATATATATATATATATATACAAAGAAGTAAAGCTCTTAACTTTAGCTAAATATGTTGAATAAACACTCAGCAGCCCACCTTTAGGTCTTCCTCCAGTTGCTGTTTTTCTCGTAGTTTCTGGAAGTCACCGCGTGCTTTGGCCTTCTCTCTTTCCTTGGAAAACTCTCTGGGAGGGGGAGGCAGGGTAAAGGGATATGGGTATAGAATCAGGAGGGAAGAAAGAGGAACAAAGAGATGAAAGACAAGAAGAATCTGAAAATCTAAGTTTAGGCAAATGTTAGATAATTGATGCACAGCTTATAGGAAGGTGGGACAACCTGCTGAGGAAAAAAGCTTTGAGTGAAGGAGAGAGGGGTTAGTGAGCAAACGGCAAACTTGAGGTTCTAGGTTCTTACAAGTCAGCTTTGAAGCAGAACCTTAAGATACAGTAACTTTGCTTTGGATTTTCTTAAAGAATACAACTTCTAGGTCCCACCGCTGCTGTGTTTCAACTGTACCTCCCAAGTTTTGGATTATTTTATTTCTTTTTTGGTTGTAACTCTTTCTTTGCAGCTGCAGCGGCATTCATGGCAGGTTTCAATTTCATCTCGCTGGCATCTCAATGTCTATACCATTTATCAACTGTCTCTACCTTCTGTTATGGCTGTAAGTCTTTAGCCCAGGACACTTATTTATGTTTTGTAATCAACACTTCTCATAAATTCTAACAGTTGTGTTTTGTTTTAGCTGTCTTCAGTCATATAAGGGAAATCCAATATATAACAGCATTTGAACAATACTGTCAATATTTGTTATACGTCTGTCCTGTACAAACAGTTTAAATTGATGTACTTGGCAGGAGCCAGATCAATAAGCCAAGCACACTAGATGTTGACTGGGACTCAACAAATTACTAATTAACAGTCAACTACCGTTTAACACAATACAATATCTAGCAAACACCAAAGATGTGTACAAGGAACACTCAATATTTTATAATGCTATAAAACGATATAATTTCCAAACAATGCGCAAAAACAGGTTTAACATCGTGGAATACTGAGGTGTGCTCTAAAATTACTTGTGATCTTTAATATGCATTTGACAAAACATAATCTCTACTCTGACCACTAGCTAAATTGCTCAGTCATAACTGGAAATAATTTGTATGAAAAGTAATGATTTTATTGACTGCCAGAGTAATTGGTGACAAAAAGTGTCAATTTTTCCCCAGCATATAATTACTTAGGATTTGTTAGAATTGCCTTTTTTTTTGTCTTTGTCTCCAAATTGTACTGTAGCTGTTCTTGTTCCTGTTTAGCAATTAGTTATAATGCCAAACAGAGAGGCCAATGAGCAACCAGTTGGTAAAAGGTCAGGCTGTGTAGTGTGCTGACAGCATCATTACTCAGAGTCGGATTCAAGGCGCCAAACCAACCCCAAGCTGTTTGAACCAGATAGACTTATTATACTTTCTCCTTTACAAAACCAGGAGTCTCAAAGCAGACATCATTAAAAACAAAAACAGTTCCGAGAAAAATGTGAACACAGTCAACACTACATGTCATACATAAAACAATATTTGTTAAGGATTCTCTCTAGTCATGCTTAATTTGCATCTATCATTTGTTCCAAGAATCAATTCATTCTGTAACTCAACATTTTGACTTGCCCCTTGTTTAAGAATTAATTTTTTTTAGCAGTTAATTGAAAATCATGGCTGGGTAGTTATGCATCATATTGATACAAGTATTTTAATAACATTCAGCAGTAAATGAAGTAATGGTATTTAGTGGGTAATGTCTTTTTTTGTTTGTTTTTAATCAATACTTTGTAATATGAATAGGACACAAATGTTTTTACCATAGGCTTTTTATTTACATTGTGTGCGCGTGTGTGTGTGTGTGTGTGTGTGTATATATATATATATATATATATATATATATATAGCCAAAGAAGTCGCGATACAATTCGATTCGAATCACGATTCACAGGCCACGATGCGATTCTATCACGATGCATCACGATACTTGAATTATTGCGATGCATTGCAACATTTTCTCCATGTTTTGTTTTTGAATGACTCGGCGCAGTATCCCGCGGCCGGAAATGCTTGTGACACAAGGCAGCGTGCGTCAACACATTTGCAGCGACATCTACTGGACTGGAAGTTGTATTACACTTCTTTTTGGCTGATGTTCAACAATCATTCATGCAATTTTATTTATTCATTTTTTTAAATTAATAATCGATACTTGGCGTCAAAAATCGATGCAGTAGATCACGAAAATTAGAATCACGATGCATCATCATGACGATTATTTTGCACACCCCTAATATATATATATATAATTCAAGGGCCTCTGGTAAAACACAAACAGAAAAGGTGCTCCATCAGATGAGCCCTAAATCAGCATGTTTTTGCTGACATGCAGAATGTTGTGCAGTGGAAGGGGGGAAAGCTGAAGCTGTGGATGGTCCTCACATCAACCGCTTTTGTGTCATTTCCCAGAAATGACACATAAGCTCTATCTGGTCTTGAGGCAGACACAAGTAATCCAGCTACAGTCTGCTAAAATCTATCAGCATATCTTTCACTTAAAAGCTTCTGAATTTCCTTTGCAAAAGTCTGTAATGACAAAACTACACTAGTTTGTAAAATAATTTCTCCTAAATGAACACTTGTAGAGATTTAATGAGAGTGAAAGTATGCTTTTAGGTATAGACTTGGGCTATAAAATCAACCTCAAGGCACAATGCTGCCTTTAGCACAATTCATTAACTTTTCTGTTATGTCTTTTTTTTTTGCCATGTAAGCTTTTTTTCTCCTTCTGTAGATGTGCAAACTATACTTGCTAACCAGTTAGGCGACTTTTGAAAATAAATAGTTGCACAGAATTTTATAACTGGACAGGGTTATAGAGATTTTTTGCTTGTTATCTGTAAAACCATATATTCTATTCCTAAGTAAAAAGCATCAGGGTTATTCTTTGATATGGTAGAGTATATATCGCATAATCTGAGCAAAGTGCATTGAACGGTTAGGCTTCATGCTAATTTAATATAAACCAAACCAAAGTTTATCAATACTTAAACAAGGCTTTATCACAACAGCACATTCCTCTTGTAATTTTAAAAGCAATATTGGTTTATGTAACAGACAAGGAGGTAAAAAAAAAAAAAAAAATCCAGACAAAGATCTTCTGAGTCAGGAGACCCAGAGCTATATTCTATATTTTTCCCAGAAACACAGCAGTGAGGCAGGAACAGGAAGTTGTTTTTAACTCTGGACTACCCTTACCCGCTTAACACCCCCAAAACCAAGTTTAGCACAAAGAAGGAGCCGATGATGATCAAGGTGACAAAATAGACCCAAGGCCACCTGTAATCTACTGCATCATTCACCTAGGAGATGGAGCACAGAGGAGGAAATGGTCCAAGGAGAAGTATAAAAAAAAAGAAAGATGACAGGATAAAACAGAGGGGGCATATGGGAATAAAAAGGGGAGAGAAGAGGGGAGTGGGAAGGGATCAAAAATAAACATTATAACGGATGGAGTAATTTCATTTTCACAGTATGCAGAGTAAAAACATATTTAATCGAAAACCTTTTAGAATCATTTAAAATAAAAATAAAAAAGCAGACCAAAGCATTTCCTTTGAGTTTACAGTTTTATATTAGGCTCTATCTTATTGATCTAATCATAACATCATTATCTGCCTAACAGTGCTGTGATTTCATATATGCACACCCAAACAAGCCATTTTTCTGCCTTATTCCCTGTTGAGGAAAATTGTCTTGATTTAGTAAAACAGATAAGCACATTGTGCAGCAAGACCCACAAGGATTGAATATACAGTAATTATAGCCCTCATGACAAAGTTTTAACTCTCCAGGACTCTAAGATTTCAAAATGATTTAATTTAGGGAAGAAAAAAGAAAATATCCTTTTAATCAAATTAGTTTCAGTTGCAGAGTTGATTGAATTAAAAGTTTCATATTCAAATCAAGTCTTTATGTAACCATTGTAATTGTTTTACTTATTTTGTGTTAGATCTGGAAAATCCTTATATAAATAACATAATGTTGTTCCAGTATAGTGTTTCATAATTAATTCCCATGCTTTATATCTTCAATGCCACATTCTTGCATCAGATTTTTTTTTTCTCCACATGTTTTCCCTGCGGAGTAAGACTTTTTAGGGTTCCACCTCAGTGAACCACCTAAGGGGTAAATTATTTATAGCCCTGTGTCCTCCCAGACCAGGAGGTGCTCACACAGAGTGATTTGGGAAAGAAGAAAACTGCACCCAGGTGGAGCAGTACTTAGAAGGAAAACACAAACACCATGTAACCGTTCATACTATCATATTCAACTTAAGTGCACAGGAATTTAAATTAATTTCATTTTTCTTGGAGTAGAAAAACAAAACAAGGAGGTCACTTTTATTAATAAACATTCACAAAAAAAGACCTTGGATGTGTAGACGGACTGAAAGCGCAAACCTAGCGGGGAGGGGGGGGGTCATGTGTCCATCACACACAGGCAGTGACAGGATGTGGACCCAACACAACTGACAAGAAAATCATAGATTTGGACTCATCTTGGTAATTCTTAAGCACATTTGTTATTCTTCCAAGCTTGTTGCAAAATATGGTGAACATAAAATTATTGGTCTGATAATCTATTAGTCCAAACAGAAGGTCAGTTTGCAACTTTTATTAAAAGGTGTGTTAATAAATCAAGCTCAGGATATTCTAGCCACACTTATAGAACTGAGAGTCAGAAATGCAGTGGTAGAAAGCCTCTCACAACCAACCTAAGCCATGGCACCAGGCCCATTTGGTGTAGTTTTTATATTGAAGAAAGATTATTTAATCTTTTTACATCAGAAGGGTGCCTTAAAATAAAAGCTTTGGGATATAAGGTGTAAGAAACAGATGAAATAACCAATGAAAAGGAGCCTAGGCAGAAATTCAACTGAATAAAGTGATTTTTCACCTTCATCCGCCTACGACACAGCCAATCAGCTTTGAACCACGCCTCCATGAAAGCCAATCAGCATCCAAAGTTCATCTTAAAAGGCCTCCGATCCACAACTTGTCTGCTACTTAGTGCACCGGCGGTGGCTGCGCTGTGTGACTTCATTCAGATGACCCCGTTTCAACCCACCTCCAGCCCCTCCTCCACCATCATAGCTAAAACTTCATCAGTTTCATTTCTCCTGGACTCTTACTGCGTTCCCTGTCTCATCTCAACCAGTCCGGCAGGCGACCACAATGTTGAGCCTGGTTCTGCCAGAGGTTTCTTCCCAATGGGAAGTTTTTCCTCTCCACTGTTGCTTCATGCTTGCTCATCATGGACAGGTTCACTAAACCTGTGTTATCCAAGCTGGACTTCCATTTTCCAGGTCCCTGAGTGAAGCTCTAGTATCAGCTCACGTAGTCCACTGGATCTCTCCATACAGCTCAAGCACACCGTCTTGCCAACCAGCAGTCTACAGACTGACCAACTTCATCTATCTCAACTCCTTCACCTGTTTCAGGCCTGAAGGGAAACGACCCTATTCTTTATTCCTGTTCATGCATATCAATCAAACTTCAGCGCCAAAGACTAATATAATTGTATCAATACATTTCTTCTAATTGTCTTTTCTGTCCTTGTGAGTTTTTCAGATTGAAAGCATATTTATTATTCAAGCAGTCAGTGATGAGAGCTTGAAACTGATGAATGATGGTCACTGTGTGCATTCATCCAATCATTTTTGCACTACTGTTCTGTCATGATCCAGACACCCACTGTAAAAGTGCTAAAATCTTAAGATGCTTCTGATTGAGATTATCACATGTATCTGGAGTTTGACTGAGCTAAACATAGCTAAGTTTTCGTTCCATCTTTACTTACATTATCAATCATTTAATCTTTTCAATATAATATTTTAATTATATCCTCTTTAAATGATTGTTTTCCCTTAATGCCACTAAAATTTACTTTTTCTCTCTCTACATGTACAGCATTTTGAATTTTTCCACTATATAAAACTGGGGAGGATTACCAGAAGAGCAGTACACCACACAATTTAAATGTATACCGAGTCAGGGGATGTCTCTTGGTTTGGCTATTGGGGGATTCAACCCAGAGCAGATAGAAGCAAACGTATGTTTTATGATTTTCATGCTTTAGCTTTTTTAGTTATGTAGCATGGTGTTTTTTTATAAACCGAACAACCTCTCGGAAATCACACTGCAAAATGGTTAGCTAGGTTATGAAACATATTGCAATTAGGGCGGCAACTAGCGATTCATTTTCTAATCAATTAATCTGTCTTTTTTTTTATTAACCGATTTAATGATCAGATAGGAAAAGGTTCCTTAAAGAAGATTTTTTATTTATTTTTTTTGCACAGAATTAAACCAGGTGAAACTAAAACTTTTCCAATGAAAGATTTCTGGATCAAGCATACTGACAGATGAAAACATTATTTCTTTATTTAGAATAAAATTTATACATTCTCTTTTTACAATTTCTTTTTTTTTATAATTATTGCTCTGTAGTGTTGCTAAAGGCATGGTTTAAAGTCTCTAACTCCAGTTAAGGATTAATTGATTATTAAATTAGTTGATGATTATTTCAAAAATTAATTAATCACAAATAATCAAATTACTTGTTTTAGATCTAATTGATTTTAGTTTTTATGCTTTTCTCATTGCAGCCTTGTTCTGAATTTTTTTGTGTTTTGTTTTGAGAGAAGCCTTTATTAGTTTATTTATAGAGTTTATCTAGTTATGATTTTTTTTAATCGCCTTATTGTAAAAAAAGACCTTTAATTTAGCTGCAACAAGATGTGAATCTTGTTGAAGTTTATAGATGTTAACAGCTGGCCAAATGCAATAATGTCACGGTGCTAACACTATAAAAATGGTGTCACACAAACTCTTTCGAAGAATTTGTTTGAATTTCAAGTAGCCCTATATTTCTACATTGTATTTATTTTCTATTATACATTTTTTGTGGCTAAGCATTCCAATTGTAATCTGCTAGATCCATATAGAATATTTTACTTACGCATTTTTAAAAAATTGCACAACAGTTTAGTATTTTTTAGCATTTTTATTAACTATGCGGACAGATGGCCAAAAGAGCTAAAATTTCTTTTATTATTTTTATATTCTTTTTCACCCTATTAACATTTAATTGGCTTGTAATCTCTGTATGGTTTGCCGAGTCTTTGAAATATTATAGCTTGTGACTCCTGAATAAAGCAAAAAGGCTGCCTCTCTGGCATATGCTATTTGTTTGAGTCACATAACATAATTTTCCTTACAGTGGACTAGACGTAGACTGTAGAAAATTAGTTAAAACACCAGTTGTGCTCTAATAATGATTAATAATGGTTCATGCTGGTATCCTAAAAGGTCTTTTTTTTAAGAATAGCAGTAGAAAGTAATACAAATTTCTATTATAACATCTAACTGTTTAAATTTGCAGATATTTTTGAGTTTTGATACATAATTAGTTCATACATCAAAACAATAAACGGGCACAGCACACACAATACACATTCGTATACACATAACAGCACAAGCTCTTACCCGCTCAACACACCCAGAACGAGGTTGAGAACGAAAAAGGAGCCAAAGATGACAAGAGAGACAAAATAGACCCATGGTAGCTCATAGCCCATTGCATCCTGCATCTAAAGGAGATGAGAGGCAGAGAAGGGAGAAAGAAGCAAAAGTATTAACAGGGGGAACAAAGAAATTAAGTTTAAATGGGTAGAAATAAGGGGTGACGTGGAACAAGAGAGAAAAAAATGTGAGAGCAATGAGTAAAAGTTAAAGGTAGTGTGTTAGTTTAAAAAAGGTTAAGTTTAGAAAAAAGAAACAACATTAATGTATTAATAGAGCTAAAGATAATCATGTGTTTAAAAAGCAAAGCTGGTCTATGTGATTAAACCCTTTTATAAAAAGAACCCATAACGTATAGACCTTCTGATTCTTTCAAGCATATAACAGATTTATTAAACAAAAAAAAAATCCTGTTAATTAACTCCTTCTTTGTTAGTAAAAAAAAAAAAAAGAAGAAAAAAAACTGAACCATAAGAAAGAAAATCATTTTCGTTTTTTTCTTTGTTTTTTCAAGATAGGAATTTTTGGGAAATGCAGCAGGATATTACATTTTGGGCCTCTAATATACAGTTTTGTGGACAGACAGTTTTGTAGACAGTGCTTCATAATTTAGATGACATGCAACCTGATATAAGGCATACATTTGTCCTTTTTTGTTCTGAAAAGCTCTGTTAGTGCACCTGCAGACTGCAGCCATCAGAAAAGCAACAGAAGGGGTGTAGAGCTTGTAGGCTATCAGCTCCATGTGCATAAATGTGCACACACACACCAATCAGCACACACACGCACACTCACACAACATGTGTATTGCATATTATGGACATAATTATACATACTAACTTTTGAATTTAGAGAAAATTGATCAATTTGGAATAAAGTCATTTCTAACATTAAGTTAGATTTGATATGTTCCTTGCTTTAAAGCTACACCTTGCAGGCAATATAATTTTATTCAGATATGCAGTTAAAGAAATGCATTAGGATAATAAATGAATGGGCACAAATCTACTGGTCTAAGAAAGGTTTTTATTCCTTAGACCTCTAAAGTATGCAACCAGAATGAGCTGCTGGGGAAGAAATTTGTAAGGCTATAGTATAAGACTTGGCCCCTTTAAAAGATTCATATTCTGTGGTAGCCAGGTCTGCTTTGGACCTTTGTGGTGAGTCAGCTTCCCCTTATATCAACCTATAGGCAGAAATGAAAAACTTCCAACCATAAGCTTCAAACTATTAGGAAGTTGTTCAAGGAGCCAAAGCAGATGCTAAGCTTGCTTTGAATGCACAATATGAAATGGTTTTGAAGCCTCAGTCACTGAACAATCCTGTTGACACTGTGACTGCTTACATAAGTTTCTTTGAGGACATCTGCTCATGAACCAAGTCCTCTCACACATTCAATAGCATTGGAAGCATACAATAGGGGCTAGTGTAACCTGGTAAGGAACAAACTAACCAAGAATATCAAGGCAGCTTAAGGAAGCTACAGTGAAAAATAAAAAAAAAATATATCACCTTTGATCTGCGGATGATCCAACAAACAACTGTGCTGCTGAAGTTAATACTTTTCAGACCATTCAGGGTGTCAAACAGCCTTGACACTTTGTAATTTAGGTTGGAAACTGAGATTTCTGAGGAAGAGTTACCGGTAAGTGTCTCTTTGAGCTTCAGAGGACCTGATAATGTCTCCCCAATGACTGAGTGGTGCAAACATCTTGTTCCCCATCAACAAGACTCCTAGCGCCACAAGGTTCCCCGTAATTCAAGCGCTCTACTGGTCCCCAAGATTAGCCCCATTACGGGGCTTAATGTCTACAGAACATCACACTGCTGTCTCTGGTCATAAAATATTTGAGTGAATATTGAATAAACTGAAGGACATTGCAACCTCCTAGCAGGACTTCTAGCAGGTTGTTTATTGGGCAGACCAAATGTAAGATGATGCAGCCAGTTTATGACTGCACTTTATCTGAGTGCCAGAATCTTGTTGGTGGACTTTATCAAGGCTTTAAGCATCCATAAAACCCAGACAGGAGGTTGATCAACTGCACCGTGTAATGAATCTTCTCCTTTCTGGTACATACTTATGATATATTAATGCCTTTGCTAAAATGGTCCTGATTTTTCCATCTCAGTGCAGTTCTAAATTTGCAGACACCAATAGCATTAACAGTTGTGGTAAACGACTCACCCAGTACAGCACGTCCGTCCAGCCCTCCATGGTTATACACTGGAACACTGTCAGCATGGCAAAGGCAAAGTTGTCAAAGTTGGTAATGCCATCATTGGGGCCCTCCCAACCAACTTGGCACTTTGTTCCGTTCTGCATGCAGTGCCGACCATAAGCTCCATCAGGGGCACACGGTGCTGGTTTTTCCTCTGCATTTGTGCCTGGGAAAAAAAGGCAAATATAGTTTGCCATGCATATTTTTTTTGTTTAAAAAATTGTAAAATATTAAATAAAACTACATTGTTTGAAAATCATGTGATAAACCCACAAAAAAAAACTTCATCAATTATAAATGCTAATACATGCATACATGTATAGCATCCAGTGCAAAACAATTTCCACCCTTGCATATTTTTTGTTTTTGCTCTTTTATACATTGAATTAATTACAAAATAAATAAATATCAGAAAAAAAGAACGCTTGAAAAAATACATACAGACCTTTGGTAATTTTCTTTTTTTTCTTTAAAGAGGGTAATGTATTTGGCCCTAATGTTAAGCGATCTCCTAAACCTTTCCTGCAGGATGGCATTATACTGTACATTTCTTTCTGTTCTTAGCATTACTATGTATAGGTTAATGATGAGTTTATTTTTAAGACTTTGTGGCTTACTTCCAGTTTCCAGTGAGATACTATTTATCTAACCTATCATGATCTAGGATTAGAAATTATTTAATGCCATAAATATACAAATGTGACCAAATAGATAAGTGATCTATATATAGTAATTCTTCACATGAAACTTATATTTGACAATCATACAGCTATATCCAAGTCCAGAGTGGACCATAAGATCAAAAATAAACTGATGAAAAAAAAATACAGATTTGTTGAACCAGTTATGGAAGAAAAAACTCTCCAGGTGTAATAAATGTACTGTATTGGAGAATGGTTCTTCTGGGACCAATACCATCACAATAAAAAACACTCTGATCCATTTACAAATAGTTGTTTCAATACATTTTGAACAATCCTGTTTCAACAAATGCTTAAATCCTTAATACTTACAAAATAAAACAACATTATGTTGTGAATTATTCCTAGAACTTTTCAAGTTTAAAACTCTTATTCTCATCGCTATGTATCACAGATGAATTACTTTTTACTACTGATGGAGGCTACCAGCAGGGATCAATAAAGTTTTATCTACTTTTAAATGCCGGTGTTCCGTTCATCTTCACAGAATAGCTCAATACCAGCCTTTTAATATGTGCATAAACCTACCTGAGTGGTTGTAAACGCAGGTCTTATGCATCTTGCCCATGAAGAGCTCCAGGCCGATGATGGCATAGATAATGATGACGAAAAGGACCAGGAGGGCAATGTGGAGCAGAGGAACCATGGCTTTGATTATGGAGTTTAACACGACTTGTAAACCTGCAGAATAAAGAAAATGGCTCTTATCAGGTTGCACATTATATATGAAAGCAGATATATGACAAAAAACTATTATATAAGATTTGTTCTTTTAGAGACAAGCATGAGAGCATGTTGCCGCTCCAAATCTATGAGAGACAAAAAACACTGATGCTTCATATTTGTATGACTTTTTTTTTTTTTTTTGAATGCTTCCTAGAGGTTGTTGCCTATATGAATACAGGCCATTTCTTAGATCATTAAGACTTGGGGCACTAAATCAAGTCCATTCAGTCATTCACCCATTCACGCACATTCTGATGGTATTGAGCTGTACTGTAACCACACCTGACCTGTGTCATTATGGTGCCTTTTGTGGACCTCTGTTTAAGTTTCTTTTTAAGTTCTCAGTTACGCTTTGATTTGTCATTCTGTTTTCTTGATCATTGGTTTCTTTTCCATTTGTGTCATATTTAAACAGTATAATAAGCAGAATAGTAAGTAATATATGTCATTTTTTAGTTACTCTCTGTTGCCCCCTTATGCCAGTCTCCTTTCCCTTAGCTCCTTCTAGTTATTTCTGTCTAAACCTGCTCCCTATCGGTTAATTAGTCCTCCCATTGTTTTAGTCTTTCATATATACTCCTCCTCTTCAGTTACTCTTTCCTGGATCCTCATCATCCATACATTCCTCCCTCGTGTCTCTTAGCTTTTTTGGTTCTTGAGTTTTCCTTGTCAATCAGTTCTGAACTTTGAATTTTGTGTTTTTACGTTTTTTTTTTTTTCATTAAATCTGCAAGAAACAACCTCTGCTTCCGCCTCTGCATTTGCATCCTCTTAAAACCTTCACGCCGCCTGACAACCTGGAGCACACTGGCAGAAGCTCATATGAACGGTCACCTAACCAGAAAAGATAGAATCATTTTCAAACCAACTTTCAATAACTCAATTTCCAATAATTTCTCAGTTTGATCTAGATGTTCATGTCCATCACTGGTTTGATTTCCCTTATGTTTCAACATGAGACTTTTAGCCAAAAAATCATGTTGCCTCTGGAGGAAACTGTAAATTAAGTAAACAGCTTCCAGTTTATGATGCAGTTGCATCTTACTGTGCTCTTTCAACCCAAAGGTTGTGGTTTTTACATTATTAACGTCCTCCTGCAACATGAAAGTGTACCCCTGGCCAAGACCCTTGACTTCAAGCGGCCTGCCAATCAGCATTTAATTTTGTTGCATGTTTTTGAGTGAAAGGATGTGAGTGGTACTCCAGTATAATGTTTAGGAGTTGGCACTTTTCCATTCGATAGAATTGTAAATGAGCATAAATCATCTAATTACAGATCATTCTTACCAATTTCCGTCATCTAAAGATTTAATTTTTTTTAGATTGTCGATGTTTGGACCTACTGTAGTTGGAAGTTAATATATATTCCAAAAAAGTTAAAGTTAACAAGCAAACCACTGGACTTTCCAAATATAAAGATGTTTCACTTCCCATCCAGGAAACTTTCTCAATTCGAAATGTCTGGAGTAGAGATTCAGTTCAAGGCTTATAGAGTAGCCCAAACAAAAGCATGTTATGGCTTAGAAAACATGCAGTTTGAACTAAAAAAAAAACAGGTCCACCGCTTAGAAATGGGGAGTCATTGAGGTCATTGTTTGGCCTGCAAAACCCGATACTGGCCTATGCCTCTGAAAAGGGAATTGTTGGGTCATTTTTGGCCTGGCTGACCAGGTGAGATATTTTGGTTCCCTACATGACGATGAAGATAGAGATAATAGCGGGAAGGAATCATTTCTACCGCTGCTTCGTAGGTTTTTTAAAGGAGCATAAACCTAAGACCACCCCCCTCTGTTTAGGGTTGGTTTTTCTCATTAACACAACATAAATGGCTTACTTCACACCCCTTTCAAACCACCTGTCTTCTTTGTCCAAAATATGAACATTATTGTGCAGAGGAGGTAGGAAATATACCAAGCAACCACTTAAACTGGTGCTGTAATTAATAAAACAGGCTTAAATAAAGATCTTAGTGTCCTTGATTTTAAACTTTTCTAAAAATGTGTAGCTTAGTTTGAAGCTTAGTTTTACATTGTACAAATGATTTAAATTGTTGGATGTATGGTAATGAAACAAAAAATCTCCTGCATTACAAAAAATGAACCTCACTATCCTTATTTAATACACAGCACATCATATAAACAATTACTGTTCACTCACTGCAGGCTTTGTAAGTAGCTCTAACAAACAGCTTCCTATCTTTAAAACATAATCACATCTTTACAGAAAGTAATGATAAATTACTATCTCTGTTTGCTTTCAAACAAGCTTCTCTTTCCAATCAATCTTACATTTGTGTTTCAGTGAATATTGTCATGTAATTACAGAACGCTTTTTTGAACAGCAAAACTGACATCAGGGATCCACATATAGTCGGTTCTGGAACTTTTTGATTCTCATAACACATTTTATTAAAGATATTTAAACATAGAACCTTTCTTACTAAATACTCTGAGCAAGCTCTTTTATTTTAGTTCAGCCCCACTTGTTTTGTGTTATAAGTAGAAAACTTCAAAGCATGTTTGTAAAGCATTGATCATGATGGTTAGTTAGCAAATAGTTTGATCTAAAAGCACTGAACAGAGCAGACTTGTCTACAGAGGACAGAAGTCTGGCTGTATACAAAAATAAAAAGTTGTACTCTTGTACCCTTTTTAATCTGAGTTTCCATTCCTTTTGTGTCCCATAACCTTCTAGATAATTGATTTCTGTAGTCCAATAGGTAGGCCGACAGCCAAGTCTTCTGTTGCCCAGAATGTCTATATTTTTGAGATGGGACAAATCAGTGTCTAGTGTGATGCATCAAGTGCCAATGTCAACCATAACCCGAGGTTTATTTCCCCACCACCTCACCCAATAACTTTTCACACCATATCCCCTCATCCTTCTTTATAGCTCCAATGTTTTACAGTACTTACTGGGTACTCCAGAGACCAGTCGTAGCGGTCTTAGGACTCTGAATGCTCGCAGAGCTTTGACATCAAAGCCTGCCGCCTTCCCTCCGATCGGAGTGGCCCCATCTCCCTTTGTGGCCTGCTCCAAAATCGCACTGAATAACCTGTGGGACAGAGCAGTAAATGTATTACATACAATGACAATCTTAAATTTATAAACACATCCAAAAAATGAGGTGATATAAATAGCACAAAATAACAACACCTCTTCAGAGTTATATTATTTTTCATTTTGGATGTGACTAATTCTTATTAAGATTTAAAACAATATTTTATGTTAAGTGAGAAAGATCCCTTTAATCACCTAATGACACATGTAGTTCTCTTTATACAGTATTTTACTTTGTATTTTTACTCGTACACTGATAAACAGATCAGGGGGCAATGTGCCAACATGTCTTCCCTAAACACACATTGGCACACAGAAGGGTGGGAAATTAAACCTCTCATCCTCTGACCACCCTACAGCTGTGCCTTTCTGAAAGGAATTTGCAAAGATAGAAACAGAAGAATTTAGACCTGCTCACTTAGTGGGTGTTCCTGCATATTAATATCTATAATAAAAACAGAGGGACCTAAAACTCGGAGATCAGTCTTTTTTTTTTTTCTCTCCATTAAGTTAACGCACCATAGAAGAGGCTAGCCAATTCTTGTTACTTTTAGAGCAACACTCTTTGGTGTGAAGCCTGTTACTAGGTATGTGAAAAATAAAATCTGATAAGGCAAACATTTGTAAAAAGCTATTTAGAAGGAAACTTTCTTGGGAAGCACATTGGCTACTTAAACAGGAAGAAAGATAACTGGAGACTTGAACTGAAGATTTCTCAGTCATCTGATCATTTTTTTTAACTATCAACCTGCTTAAATTTTAACAGAGTGTATTAGAAATGTGTAATGTACCAAAATAAGAACATTGATCTGAACATTTCTGTATTTTTATCCATCTCTGGAAATTTCTTGATACAACCCTGGTAAAAGTTAGGATGTAACCCCCTGATAGTGTTATGGCATTTGTGATTCTTTTGTAGTTCTCTACCAACTTCCTATATCAGTGGGTGGAAGATTTAACACATTCTCGGCTTTCCATTGTCAGACATTTAAGTATTGTCTTGTACCTCAGTGACTTCATAAATCATGACCTAACAGTTTTTGATGGATTGACTGGTACGTTTTAGGTGCAGTATTTGCTTTAGCACCATTTATATATTTTTCTGTTTTATTGCTGGTTTCATGTTTGACTGAAACAAGGTGGAATTTATATATAATGGCTTACTTTATGGTGAGTTTGAGCAGGTCTTGCTGCAGAACGGCATCCCCATCCATGACACTACCAACTCAATGCTTTAATAAGCTGGGGCTTTTGCTTGCTGCTTCATATATATATATATATATATATATATATATATATACACTCACCGGCAACTTTATTAGGTACACCTGTCCAACTGCTCGTTAACACTTAATTTCTAAGCAGCCAATCACATGGGGGCAACTCAGTGCATTTAGACATGTAGACATGGTCAAGACAATCTCCTGCAGTTCAAACCGAGCATCAGTATGGGGAAGAAAGGTGATTTGAGTGACTTTGAACGT